CCCCCGGGCTGGCCCCCGAACGTTCGGGCGTTCGGGGTCCCGTTCGGGGGCCGAACACCTCCAGGTTCGGCCCCCGCCAAAACCATTTTCGGGGCCTAAAAGTAAGTTTTTTTTTCTGAATTGGTTTTTGTGAGTTCTCTATGATGTAACCTACACGCCTATAAATTTTGAAGCCATTCTGCTAAGCCAAAAAAACATTAAAAATCGTCAAAGATGGGGGTGTCAAAACGTGCTCGCCCACTCACTATTTTGTTTTTTTTTCACTTTTAACTTTTTGTTTTCACTTCATTTCGGGGCCTAAACAATTTTATTATTTTTTGAAAATTGTTTAATTAGTTATTGATTATGTAAAATACATGTCTGTAAGCTTTCAGGGCATTTGTCAATGCCAAAAAATAATTAAAAATCGGCAAAGATGGCGGTGTCCAAAAGGTGCTGGCACACTCACTCATTTTAATTCTCTGTTTATTTTTTCTTATTTTTATCATAGTGTTTATTTTTGGTATTTTATTTTTTATTCAAATCTGGTAAAGAATTTGGATGTAGTGCCCAGGCAAAAGAATTTGTTTCTGATGAGAAATAGATGCGGGTACTTGGTCGGCTTTGTTTCTGGAGTAATTTGGGCCAGATCGGTTGAATCGGTGACATTGACCGATTGGATGAGTCTCTCTTTGTTTCTGGAAAAGAAGAATGTGGTCCGTTCTATGAGTTCTCTTCTTGTCTCTCTTTAGGAGCCTGGTTAGTCTAGGTTGTGGTCTGTATAGACTTTTCTCATCTGGTCTGCTTCTGTCTCTATGGTTCCTTTTCAGGTCTGATCTACGCGTCGCAAATTTGTTCTCTCGGGCGTGAAGTCTACAATAGCTGTTTCTAGAAGGACTCGGTTGGAAGGGTCCGGGTAGGATTACTTAAGCATGAAGTAACGAGCAGTTAATCCTCCTCAACTCGATACCTGGACCCCTGATGATGGTTAGCTGGCGACTAACCGAAACGCGGCGTAGGGTCGCGCCATCGCTACCAGCCGGTTTATATTGACTATATTTCTGCAGGAAACAGACGATAGTCAGGGAACTGCCGATTTGCTTTGCACTGAAGCTGGTGGCGAGATGGGTGGTGCTATCTTTTTAATATTTTGACCCATCAAGGGTCGCATTCGGGAGAGTTACTGCGTCGACTACTCTATCTATCTCAAATGTCATGTCCTTCTTCTGGTTTGTCGGTCGTTGTTTGTGTGTTGACTTTGGTTTTTCCACGTCGATGCTCGTCTGACATGAGATGTATGTTTGTCTTATGATTTAATTGTGCAAACAATTACCATATTTTCGCGCAGTAACCCGCGTAGGAATTAGACTACGAAGAGTGTGGCTGCGCTAGAAGCAGATATGGCTGCTCCTTATGTCAGGACTTGTTACAACTGTGGGTCACCAGGTCACTTTGCGCAAGAATGTCCGCAACCAAGGAGGACTCCGGCTATTGGAGCAAACGCAACGGCTATTAGTCCTCCTCTTGACTCTACCGACTCCTGCAGCAGTCCAGACGGCGTATCCGACACCGGCTCCGGTACCTGCTCAGACTACTTACGTTGCTCCTCAGCTTGTGCCTGCTACTGCTCCGACGTATGCTGTAAACACAGGGTATGGGCGTGGTCATGGGCGGCAGACGTTGGACCGCTGTGCGGCCTTTGTCGATCAGGCGGAGGCCCAAAAGGCGAAGGACAAAGAAGATGAGGAGAAGGAAAAAAGAAGGAAGGAGCAGCAGAAAGAGAGAGAAGAGTTTGGGCAAGGGTTGGAGATCGGTTGGAAAACAGATTGGCTGCGATGTATGGTCCTCCAGGTGGAGGAAGGGCCTGCGTGGTGGCAACCGGAGAGACGAGCGGGCAGAAGAAAGAAACCAACGAACTAACGAGGTTGAGACGTGAAAATGAAGAGTTTAAAAAAAGAGTGGAGAAGGAGAATAACAGTAATGAGGGGCTGATTGATAGGCTGATCAAGGAGAATAAAGAGCTTAGAAAGAAGGTGGGCATGGTATGAGATCCATTGGAAGATACGTTGAATCGCTTGACAAAGGAGGTACAGGAGCTCCGTGAGGGGAGAGGTGTAGATAAGGAATTGCTGGGCGGGATGAAGTTGGAGATCAATTCGCTAAAGAAGGATAAGGAGCAATCGATGGAAGAAACGCAGTTGTGGATGAATGAAGCTCTTAGGCCTGGTAACAGAAGAGGAACGATGAATATTAGTAGTATTATATTACCACTCCAGAATGCAGCACCAGGGGAAGGGCGAGGCAGCGTGTGATGGAGTCACCAGGTAAGGACTATCGAGAGGAGATCCGCAAATTGAAGGATATGGACTTACTAGGCGGGAGGTTGAGGTGCTGAAAGTAGGAAAGTCTGATGCGGAGGCCAATAAATTGGAAGCGGAAGAGAAGAAGCGGGCAGCTGAAGAGGAGGTTGCCAGGCTTCAGGAACAGGTTGAGAAGCTCACGACAGAGGTTCCGGCTGTACGGATGGGAGGAACTAATTTGAAGAGTCGCATGGAGGCGGTGGCAGCTAGTGGGCAGAAAATAGTTAAACGTGGAAGACCAAGATTTACACCAGGGCGAACACCGAGTATGGAGAACGTTGAGGAAGCGGAGAATGACCGGTTCCTGTTTATTCAGGAGGAAACGAAAAGGTTACACGCACTGAAGAAGTCTGGGCTTGTGAAGCTGTGTGCGCAGGAAGGACTGGAGTACAAACACACGGGCACTTTTTTTTCGCCAACACGTACAACCCCCCAAAATGCGCCACCCATTTACACAAACAAATATACACACACATTATCACATTCACAAACACACACACAAACTGCGACCTTTCTTTTATTTATTTTTTTCCAAAATTTCTGTTTTCTTTTTATTTTTTTTAATAGCGCAAAACAAGCGGTTAGAGAAATTTTTAAAAAAGGGTTGCAAGCAAAAAAAAAAAAAAAAGG